ATAAAGAAACTTTCGGCATTGTTAAAACTTTTGACATACTGACAGAAGAAATAGAAGCTACGAAATTGTTTAGGATTTCAAATATACATCGTACAATTCATGTAAAACGCTTGTGAAAAACTGGGGTGAGAAACAGGTGAGAAAACGGGTGACATCTCACCTCTTCACCTAAACATTATTTTTACTGAATTCAATAAAAATAAATGGTTCATTTACTCACAATATTTTTGTACAAAACGACCCCAAACTTTTAACTTCTTTTCTGCAGCTTCAAATGCTATCTTAGCGAGTTCATATTCTCTAAATTCTCTCTTTAAATCTTTCTTGTTCCCATTGGTCTAGTTCGTATGGAGAATCTCTATAACCATAATATATCTCACGTTCATGTTCTAATTGTTTTTCACACATTTTCCAACTTCTTCTTCGAACAAAGGTTTAGCATTCTCCACTGTATCTTCGAGTTCTTCTTCATCTAACTTCTCATGAACTTTCTTGTCTTGGAGTCCATAATATCTTTGACATAAAATGCATACTTTACAGAGCACCATTCAGCAAAAAATGAACGAGGTCAGCATGTATGTAAATACCTTTGAATTCATTCATAACGCCCTTAGCAAGCTCAAAAATGCTTGTTTTGAGGTTGAGCCACTTTTGGCTCGACCGTATTCTTTCAACCAAAACTCAAGAATTTCCTGCATTTTAGCACTATTGAGAAATCTGTTTAAATGGTTTAACTTTCCTGCTTCTCTCGCCATCTTTGTTGCATTAATGTAACCATCCTTGTCTCTACGTAAGACTTCAATACCGTTATAAGTGCCTTTTGTGAATGTTTCGCCATTAGATTTGTTAGTGAATGTTTTTGCTTCGACTGACATTACTGTCTTTACATACAAAATAAAAAATAAATAAAATAAAACTAACTTTATTTTTGGTCTTTTGTGAAAATTCATGAAAATTCAAGAGGTGAAAAAAGAGTGAGAAATAGGTGAAATCTCACCTCTTCACCTAAATTATATTTTTGTCTGATTTACATCCAACAAAAGTTTAGAAGAATTTTCTTATTCTTTCTGGCATGTTTTTATCTTTCCAGTACTCCCGCTCTAATGGTCCCAGATGAGTTGGTTTAGATTCTCTCAAGTTCTTAGATGGTATAACATCTTCAACGCCTCCTTCATATCTTACTTTATAAGTGTCATCGTTTGTGTTGTAGTCAAGTATTTCAATAACCACTCCTCGCTTTGCTTCGTCAATGGTTTCAGCAAGTTTGCCATTACTACTTTCGACTAATTTATGTCGAGGGTAAAATGCTATGGAGTCGTCAGCAGCTTTTATAAGATATCCATTACCTTGCGTAGAGTCTACGATATAATAATTTCGACTTAACCTTAAACGTTTCTTTGTCAATGGTTTGTCGTCAAGAACTACACGAACTTTGTACCAGAATGAGGGTAAATTGTTTTGAATTTCTGATATTTTGTGTTTGACTTAGTTTCTTTTGTATATACTTTTCTTCTTGTTGTTGTGTCATTGAATTTGGTGTATGTCCTGTTGTAGAATGTGTGAGGAATTATATACTTCGAGAAAATGTTTCATTGTTTCTTCGGTAAAGTCTCGCTCTTGATTTTAAATCTCTGAGAGTCCTTATGAAGCGGTTAATGATACCGAGTATGTTATGGTTATGGTCTTCAGTAGTGTAGTGAGTTATGTTATGCTTAATGAGAAATTCTGTGATTTCGTTGCTGAGGTATGCACCGTCTTGGTCTGATGTTAAAATACTTGGGCTATGTTCTGCTACAAACTTTTGTAAACTCTTAACACTTCACGAGTTCCTTTATTTCTCATTATATACGCATATGCTTTACGAGTGTTAACATTTATGAAGATGAGGAATGGTTTATGTCCTCCTTTTCTGCTTTGAATGAGAGTGTCAAATTGGTATGCGTCAGGAGTGTTGGAGTAATTGGTAAAAAGTAGTCGTAAGGGTTTATTTTTGTTTGATGTACAACATTTTTGTCAAAGAACCTTTTCACTTCAGCTCTGTTAGTAAATCCCGAACTCTTTGCAGCTTCATTGAACTTCTTAAATGACCTCCATGGTTTGTTCGAATACTTCTTTCAAGCTCATTTATGTAAATTAAAGATTTTAACCAACTCGTATCCAAGCGTGCATTGTTATAAGGAGGCATATAATCTTTTCCATTACCTGCTGGGTCTGTAATACCAGCTACAACATGTGTATGATTTCCTGCAGTTCCACAGAATACCTGTGCTACATCTTTGGGGTCAGTTGTGATATCATATCTATTCATTCCCTGTCTATCCGAACCCGCTGCAAGATTTGTATAACCTCTTTTTGTTATTGAATGTGAATGGTTTCCTTCCACAGATGTTCTTCCACTGAACCTATGCATATGTGAAGGAAGGTTTTCAATACCTATTTTCTTTGAACCTCCCATCTTCATTGACTGCGTATTAGTGTAGAATGGAAAACTGTCAACTATTTCATACCATCTACCACCAAATAAAGTGTTTGGATTTATTGGATTCATAGACGTATAAACAGCTCCTATAGGATATATTAAATCATATATGCTCATAACTCTATAAACATATTCTAAAGAACTTATGTCATTAAATACCATTTGGAATGTATCTCCCGGATGAAATGTTGCATTTGTTCCACTTTTATAATGTAATGTTAGTTCAATAGAATTATCCAAGAAAAATTCAAAAGTATCTGGTTGAAGACCTCTAACAAATTCAAATGGAGTTGCTGGTTCACCATTTATAATTTCTGTTGTAAATGTCATTGTATCTGGTTTCGAAAATTTCTTTGTTAGTTCTGCATCCACATAAGTTTTGTCTGCTTTATTATCTAACATTGTTGGTAGTTCATGTGCTTCAAAGTTTCTGGCATGACCTTCAATGTTCATACATTTGTTATTTAAGGAGTTTAGTGTATCTTTTACGCTTGTACTTGGATTTTTTAATGGTGCACTTGAACCAAGGTCAAAGTTCAATATTATGTCGTCTGCTCTAACAGTAGTGAAGGATTTATGTGTATGGTTCTTGTCGGCTTTCTTATCATATAAATCTTGAGCAGTGAATTTAATATTATGTTCATCCTTCATGACATAAACATCTTTACATCTAATGTTTCTCATCGTCGTTATGTCGTCATCCGATGTTAAACCTTGTGGAAAGTTAGGAGGTTTACAATATAATGCATCCCCACCAGTTTCTTCAACCGTTCCTTCAATACTTTCTATAGCAACAGTTGTGAAGGATTTATGTGTATGGTTCTTGTCTGCTTTCTTATCTAACATTGCTGGTAGTTCATGTGCTTCAAAGTTTCTGGCATGACTTTCAATGTTCCTGCAACTGTTATCTAAACTGTTAAGAGTATCTTTTACGCTTGTACTTGGATTTTCTAATGGTGCACTTGAACCAAGGTCAAAGTTCAATATTATGTCGTCTGCTCTAACAGTAGTGAAGGATTTATGTGTATGGTTCTTGTCAGCTTTACTGTCTAAAGAAGTTTGAAGTTCATTTATATCGGAGATGTTGTGTTTATGAGATTTCAAAACTTTGTTCGTTGCGTCAAGTTCAACTTTGTCAGCTTTACTTTTAATAGCATCTTCAAACGTTATTTTTGCCTTAACTCTTAACATAAATCTTGGTTCAACTAATACACCATTAACAGAGAAAGTAGAGGCATAAATTTCATCGTTATAACTAAATGCTTCTGGTGCTTTACCTGTGTCATACTGTACAGTACAGCTTATGTCATAACCTTTAGCACGAATGTATTTATATCTTCTTTCATTAACATTTTTTGTCTTCGCTTCATCACTTCGTGTTAAATATCCATGGTAGTCCGTTATAATCTGTTCGTCTGAAGTTATATAATGAACGTGGTTTTTATCTGCTTTTTCGGCTAATTTCTCATTAACATCATTCACTTCTAATTCAACTCTTCCGCCAGAACTCTTATTATCATTAATCTTTTTCATTAATTCGGTAATTACGTCATAAAGACTATATTCTGTTTTCGGTTTTGTAAATAATGAGTCAAAATTTCTTTTCATCATTACATCGCTGACATTAATGATATCACCAATTCCTTTTTCATTTATTCTCTTCATTATTCTGCAATAATGACGAATATATAATCTGTTAATTTATTCTCTTCATCGAGGGTTATAGAATGTTTTGAAATTGAATCATTAACTCCTCTAAATAAATCAATAACTTCAGGATACACGTTTTTAATGTCTTGAATAACCCGACCAGTATCCTCGCCACTATGTGGCTCTGAGCCCGTTGGGCTCTGTTGTTCATGTTCTTCGTTCCCGTCGTTACGTGGTTTTATATCTCTAACCATCATCAACGCAGCCATAACCGGAGGGTTTGTTGCTACCTGTTCGAAAATCCGTCCGTTATGTATGGTATATCTAAATAATTTCTTTGTGTTTGTTAAAACATTTGAAACAAGTCTTTTAAAACCATCTACAAAATTTCCTGTTTCACCTAATGTTCTTGCAGCATTTACAAGCTCACCCATTCCCGCTTTTGACCCCAAAAACGTCCATATTGCATTTATTTCACTCTGTATAGTTGTCCATTCAGCGAAACTAACACCCGCATTCGCTAAGCTGAAAATGAAATTCAGTGGATCGAACTTAATTCCACCTTCTTTTTCAATTTCAACGAACTCACTAACATGAGATTTTAAATATTCTTTCGTTAAAATTGTTTTCCCCGATGTTATGTCATTAACGAAACTATCACCGTCAAAAGTTAACGAATTCAATTTCGTCGTTGATGCTTTTATTTCATACACCGCTTTATCGATAGTTTTTGGCTCACCTTCTTTAGAAGCATATGAAACATTAATGAATGAATTATATGTATTCGTGAATGAGTTAAAATCAATGATTTTCATTAATGACGCCTTTAATGATTCATTAACTGTTGAATCCCTTAAAACAATTAATGAACTGTCCTTTATGAAAGGTACACTGCAAACCGTCGAGTTTGGATCAAATGCTGTAGTTGGTGCAGGAATATTAATGATATAAGTCATTAAATCATTAAGTGACGTAAATAATGTTGTCGTTTTTGATTTAATTTCTTTAGCATCTGTTATATATGGTAATTTTATTTCTGTAGTTTCTGAATTAAAGATATTCGCTAAAATGTTTTGTAAACTGTTTTGAACAGCTGTGTAAACCGTTGAATTCGGAACTCTTACGATTTCACCATCCTTAATAAAAGGCATTGTACATGACGTAGTGCTTGGGTCAAATCTTTCGGGATTATAATTCAACATATATTCTAACGCTTCATATACAGACCTATAAACAGTTGTGTCGTTCTTCATGACAACTTCACCATTTACAATGAATGGCATAGTGCATGGAGTTAAAATAGGGTCAAACTTTTCATAGTCCTTCCATGTTATGTATTTCTCGGTATTTCCATCAGAAATAACAATATATTTGTCAGTAAGTGTGAGAGAGTATTGACCAAAATATAAACGTTTAGCTCTGTCAGCTTCATACGCATATGCAGCAATACTCATATTTTAATGAGAATAAAATGTTGTTCTATTTGCAAAGTACAGACCCAAACGAATACGGAATAGTAAAGCTTCAAACAAACTTAGGTCTTCAGAATGAAGCGCTTGCTTTCAGAGTTGTTGACTTCAATACTATCGCAACTTTTGTCATAACAGATGAAACAGATTTCATGGAGTTTGAAATAGATGGAAAGAAGCACGAAATAAGATTTCACAATAATGTAGAATATAAGATGGAAACATTAGCTGGAGTGTTAAATGCGCTCATAAATACTACAATAAACAAGGAGAACGAAGAAAACTTAATGAATGTTAAACTTATTGCAGGAGTTTTGAAGTTCAGTTATGCGAAGGAGTTTAAGATAACACGAATGAGTCATAGAGTTCAATTGCTTCTGGGAGCATACCATATGACATGTCCTTTGAAAAGTGTTGACAAAACGATTGAGATGAAATCTGTTCCATACGTATGTTATGGTAATTGTTTATACGTTGAGTCAAAAATAGCTAATGTCACAGGTATTTCAGGAGTTAATAGTAAAGGTTCAGTAGAATATAAATCCTTCTGTTATGCAGTCAATTCAATGTTCATTCCAAACGTTCCTGTCATAGTAACTCATTTAGGTAAATGGGTTCGCATTAGTCCTCATAATTTGAAAGACATGCAATTCAGACTTGTTGACTTTCAAGGAGAGCCTGTAGAACTGAAGGCACCAGTGCGAATGACTGTTGAAGTTGACTTTTTAGAAAATATTAAATGCAACAGCTTACAAGAGAACTCAGAGCTAAAAATATAAAGTATGAATGTTATGTATTAGGTCATGAACTTTGGTTATTGCTGTTTGATGAAACAAATGAGTTAGTTATGTCAGTCAAGAGAACAGAAAAAGGCGTCAAAGGCGCCGAGCGCAAAGCGCTATATTGTGTTAGTGAAAACTGCACCAAGTCAATAAGATTAGGTTTGCATTATGAAGATGAGTTCGATACTGTTGAAGAAGTTTTGGATAGATATTACAAATTGCTTTAATTTACTAAAACATATTTCAAACAAAGCTTATATTCTGTTGAAAGTTTTGTATATTCGTTCGAATATTTATACTTAAACTCAACTCCTGTACCTGGTATTTCAATGATGCGGATGTTACCTATTTTCATGAATGGTGGCGTTTGACCACAGCATTCGATTTCAGGGTCGAGATAGTCAATGACACATTGTTTCCCTGTTATTCGTGATATAACATTTTCAAGGTCCTCCTTTGTTAGAATTATTTGGTTCTTGCTTATAAGATTTGTCAAAAGCTTCTTATCGTCTTTGAGTAAAATTGTTTGGTATAACTGAAGAAGGTAATGGTCTACGTTATCTGAAGGATTTGTTTGAACATTTGTGTAAGGGTTGTCGTTGGCTTCTCTTGAAAGAATTTGGTCCAGTGGTGGATACTCTAACTTAACATCTGATGTAGCGTTAGCGTTTGAAGCTGTGTTTAAATTCACGGATTTCAGCTCTGGTTCTGGTTCTTTCAAACACTCGAACTATAGTTCTTTATAACAATATTGTTTGTCGTTCGTGAGTCAACATTTGATGTTGGTTCAATTGGAACATTAACGGCACCAGCTAAGATGGATTTGCTTCTCATTTCATATAGAATAAAAACCTTTTATATGTATGAAATGAACAATATACTCGACAAGGGTTTGAATGTAAAGCTAACGAATGAAAATATTGTTGAATTCACTGAGACAGGTGCTGTGTATAAAGATGTAGAACTACTGAACAAAAGAGCTAAGGGAAGAAGCAGGAACATGAACAAAGGGTGGAAGCCTATAAAAATTTATGTCAATGATGGCTCAGGAGGTTCAAACATAAAGTATGCAGAAAGTTATAGAGTTTATGCGCTAAAAGGTGAAAAGCCTTCATTTAAGAACAGCTATTCTAACGCATATCCTCAAAAGTTAACGGATGGGGAAGTGGATGATATGAATGACAGCAAAAATATTAACAGAAATGGCGACAGAGATGCATGGAATTTGTTTACCATCAGTCAATTGAAGGTTAAACTTTAAAACAATGTTGGTCGTTCCCATGGAATATTTTTGACTTTAATGGTATTAGTCATGATATGAATCTCAAGGTATGAACGAGGAGAGATGAGAGACTTATATGCTTCCCAAATTTCTTCAAAAGGTAATGTTATACCTGACTGTTTCCAAATGAGTTCAATATCATAGCGTGAGAAACCTTGAAAGATAACGAAGTCAGTTATGAGACGTTTTATGTTTAAAGCAAGAAAACGCCATGTTTGCATAAGTATTGCTACAGTTAAGTGGTAATGTCTGACTTTAGTATGATGTTAGCTAATGGTGAGTCAGGCTTTGACACTAAACCTTTTCCGGCGAAGTCGTCGCAAACGAGCAGAGTGTTTGAAGGATACTTTTTGAAGGGGTATTTTGAAAGTTTTGACAGAATGTAGTTTGTAAGTCGTTTCATATCGTAAACTCCTGAGTATTGACGTAAGTGGTGTTTGTCAATAATTCTTTCCATCTCTTCTGAAGTCTTTTGCATTCCTGACTGTATAAATTCAACGATGGCATAATATTTCCTCTTACGTCGAATGTAACGTTGAAGAAATTCAATGAGTTCACTGTCTGGAACTTTAACGACAGAGGCTTGAACTTTTGACATAAATGTTTTCGCTGTTGATCCATAGAGTCTGAAGTTGCTGATATAATGATTTGGTCATAGTAAGAGTCGTTTCCTAAACGCTCTGTTATGAGTATATGACGAATGAGGTTAAATGTCTTACCTGACCCCATCTTTCCACAATAGAAATACACACCATTTGAACAGAACTCATAGTCCTTACTGAAAGGAAGAATGAGAGAAGAGTTAAGTTTGTCTGTAGTTTCATTCATGTCTTCATCTACGTCATGTATTAAATGCTTCATTTTATCTCCATTAAAAATGCAAGTCAGAAATATTCAGAACATAGCACCGAGTCTAACTGACAAGAGTATAAAGATATACTATGAACACGTTATGATGAAACCTACCAAAATTCAAGAAAGTCAGTATACTTATGAATATCCAAGACACTGGGTAGAGTATGTAGGAGGTGAGAAAGCTATTGAAATAAGACAAGTTAGAAGTATTCCAGCAGGAAGGACAATATTATTGAAGAACTTTAATGTTTTGAGGTATAATGATGAAACAAAGAAGCAAGATAGTTTTCCTATTGCTGTGTATGTGAACCTAGACACAGGAGATGACATGAAAGTTTTTAACACAAAGCTTCAAACGGTAGTGAGAGAACAACTGACTGCGGAAGGGCATCCATTACCTTCAGAAGTTACCATAGCATATAATTTTGAAACAAATGCAATAGATTTTAAAGTCGTCTCTGCAAAGAAGTCAGGTTTTACATTTAATGAAGCAGATGTATATTCGAATGAAAACTTCAAAGCTATTGCATGGTTAGATAATGACGATTGCTTTAAGAAAATATTTAAATTCAGTGACTCAACGATGTCAATAGATGACCTTCGTGGAATGTTACCATCGACGTTTACAGTTGAAGGTTCAGCAGGATTGCTTACAAGATTGTCAATTGGTGGTATTTGGTCTCGTGAGAACATTGTTATAAAATCCAGTATAAGTGAATTTGCTGAAGAATCTATATTATGTCTTTCAAACTACATGTATTCGCCACCGAAGCATTATAGTATAACAAACTTTGTCAGTAAGTTTAACATAAGACTTGTCGAACCTTCTTCAATGAAAGATGTTGTGCTACCTAAAGATGGAAAGGATGGACTCATTATTGAAATGATTTTAATAGCATATTAAATGAGCTTGTTCTTGAAGGTCATTCATGATGAAATAACTGTTGTAGAAGATGTTAGCAATTGTTCAGACATTTTGAAGCGTATAGATGAGATAAGAAAGAAGTTTATGAAGCCGCAACGCGGCGAGGACGAAGTCCATGAGAATGTTTATGTTTCATTGACTTTCTCCAGTAACGAGAACTTTTATGAGATAATATTGAAGAGAGATGATTTTAATATGGTGTAAATGGTAGCTTGGCAGCTTTAGGCGCAATGGGAACAAAAGCATTAGCATTTGGAGCAAAAGCACTTGGGCTTATGACGCAGTAAATAAAATGAGTGGAGGAAGGGTTTCGAAGACATTAGATGCAAATAAAGGAAGATTGGAGGCTGGGTTGCAAAGAAGTTAAGATTAAATAAAATAGGGCTCATAAATAAAGCATCCAATTTGGTTGCGACTGAGTCAGAAAATGCTTTAGGAAAGGACGATGAGTTTGCAAAACATGCAAAAGACTTTAATGACCAGATGAAAGGTGAAACAATGCATTTAAATAGAGTCGATGGAACTTCTTCTCCACCAGTAGTTCTTCCGTATGGTCCCTATGGAATGTATGGAAACCCTTACGAAAGACCATTTGACCCATTGACTGGTGGAAGTAACTGGTATCATTACGGACGAAGAAGAAAGACAGTCAAGTTGGAGACAGACGTGAAGAAAGCAACTAAAAAGAAATCAAGGAAGAGAGTTATAAAGCAATGAATTCAACGGGTGAAAAAAGAGACCCAAAGGGTCAGAGCCGCAAAGCGGCTAGGTGAAAAAAGAGGTGAGATTTCACCACTTCACCTAAATTTATTTTTGCGCTATGTTTTCATACGTGTGAGGATGGTGATATCATTAATTTTTAAATAAATGTGGGAACAAAAATATAACATTTCTACTCAGCAGGAATGAGACCCTTACTGACTATGTATTCGTTTAATGCTTGATGAAAACAATGGTACATATTATCGTATGGGTATACACAACGTCTGTTTCCATCGTCGTCGTATATGTAGAGCTCAAATCCAGTCCAACCTTCTTTTGTACAATATGTAGCTTTATTTAAGTATGCATTTATGTAGATAAGGCAATTTTCTTCATCGCTCCAGAAATAATTTTTGTTCTTTGTTGAAATAGTTTTCGTTCCTCTGCGACCATAAGGAATGTATGCAATGAACTTTGCGTCATAAGGGATTGTAATATATTCAGGGTTTCTTTCATCGTCAATGGGTCTGTCTTTGTTAAAATGCATGTTTCTCAGTTTTACTTGAGTTTTGAATAGTTCACGGAAACGTTCTGGGAAAGAGTCATAGTAAATGTAGTCGGACATGTCTTTGTAATGAAATAAAAAATTTAAAAAAAATAAAAATAAGGTTATTTTTATTTAGTGAGGACGGTAGGGAATTCGTTAGTGAAGTCGTTAGTGAAGTCGTTTATGTATCAGATGGTTTTGTAAATATTTAAGGTTAAGTTGGTGTTTGTGTTTGTGTTGTAAAATATACGTTATCGGTTTCGTAAAGTGTCAAAACCGTTAAGTTGTGTACGGAGGCGCGCAGTGCCACAGTACCCAAGTTAGGGATACTAACTAACTAAAGCAATACCACGTTTATTTAGTAAGGAAGATCCATTCATGATTCCAGCTCAACATATTGACGTTCGTTCACTAAATGGAGGTTGCATCACTCCTGAAGGTATCAGCTCAGATTTCTCATACGCTCTTCATAATGTTACAGATGTTGTGTTAGCATTTCCGAAGAATGCAATGCAAAGAACAGTTTTAGAAAATCCAATGCTTCGAGGTCTTCAGGTCACTGTAGATTCCAGAAACTTCCCCGATCAAGCGATGACCACAGTGGGTGACATATTCTTTACACGTATGCTTCAAGCTTCTGATTTATATGGAGTGAATGAATGCACAGAAGAATACGAGGACTCATTAACTAGACCACTGAATGCAGATGATGGCACGCCATTAGCTAGAACATGGAAAGACCAAACTTCATTCTTATGCACTATTCCAGTTCAACGTGATGGAGCGGGTATATTCTTTGATGGATTAGAAACTTTCAACTCACAGTTACAGTACAAGTGAAAGCTTATCCAATCATTCAGGGTGAAAATGACACTTACTGTTCAAAGGTGACAAATCCTCCTCAGGTTTGGTTTACTAGGACTACATATTGGACATGGACACCGGATGAAGGTTTGAAATATCATCCAACAGGTACACCACCACAGTATAGAAGTTCATATGATGAAATATTGATGAATAGAAATGTTTAAAATTATAAATTTATTTTTGATTAGATGGATTTAAATTCATCCACCCCTTATGAAGAATTAGCAGGAGTATATAATACATACATAGATGATATGATTAATGAAGCATTGAGTGATAATAGAAATGCTCTATCTAAGGAAAAATTAATGAAAATTCCATATTCTGAATGTTACTTAAATTCAATCACTGCAGCAATTGGTAAACAAAATAAAGGTAAAACATTAACAATATTAAAACAGATTATCATTATTGCTAACACTTCCCCCCATTCACATGTGTTAATTTATATCAACCGTTCGGGTTCACCTTCAGATGATACATTTGAATCTTTAAAGCATTTAATCAAAATTCCAATTATTTATTTATCACAAGAAGAAGCAGAAGATTATTTAAAAAACTTTTTAATGTATAAAGAATTATATAATACAATCAAGAAGCAAGGATTAGAGGATAAAATTATTGATAAACAACGGATGAATTATTTGAAACACTTTCTATTTCAAAATTTTGATAGAGAATTTTTGCATTCACTCATTTTTCTAGATGATGCAGTGAAATCAAAACTAATAACAAATGAGAATCATATTTTTAATCAGTTATTAACTCAATGTCGACACATTCAGTGTTCATTCTTTATGGCTGTTCAATATTTCAAAGCATTAAGCACAAACATTAAATCAAATCTATCAACACTTTTCATTTTCAGTGGGTTTGTCGTCAACAGTTGAACGTTATGCTTTATCAGTGAATTTACCAATGAGCATTAATAAACTTTACACACAATATCAGCAATTAGGTGAACATGGGAAAATAATAGTTGATTTAAATAAAGGAGGTGTTTAAATTTGATTAACTTTTTATAATTAATTTTTATTTTTTATTTATAATTAAACATGACTGAAATAGCAAATCTTCTACAGGTTCCATTAAAACAAGGGACAAACAAAAAGGGTGCATATAATAGAACTATGAAAGTTCCTGATGGAATGAAAGAATTAGTTCATATTTTGCTGGTCTTCAAAAAGATGTTAAACAAATGAGAAACGTTTAACATTACCAGAAGCTCAAGCATATGCCAAACGTCAAGGTCAAATTGGGAAGCACACGAAGCAGACATTACGGGTCCAAATGGAAAACCTGATGGTATAAATGAAGTTTTCGTTACTGATGGTCAAGGAAATATTAAAGTCATAAATGGTTACAAATTAACTATAACTGATTATCCTAAACGTAAAGCATATAATGAACGTTATCCTATGCAATTTGATGAAAATGGAAAAGCTGTTAAACAATACATTGGAGAAGGTTGAAAATGGTCCAATTATTCATACCGTTATAATCCATATTCTTATTTCAATGAAGAATTAAATGCTATTGAAGAGGGACGGATGGATTACCACGATATTCTAACCAGTTTGATGGTCAATATGCAAATATTAGACCTGAAATTTCAGCTAAGAAATTCTTTAAAGTTGCTTTATTCGATCCAGTTTTCGCAAATGTTAAAGATGAACTTAAACAGCAATTCCAACCAATTATAGTAGCAAGAATTGCATCAGGTGCTTTATCTCAAGCATTCAAAGATTTAATTAGAAACCATTATATCAGCAACGAGGTTAACTTATGATTTAGTTAAGGAATCAGATAAAAGAAAATTTGAGAAATCAGATGATTATAAGAATGCAATTAATGAATATATTAGGTCTATTAATTACAATGAATCAGCTAAAAATCAACTTCATGAACAAATACAGGGAATAATAGATTCAAAACTTCCAGCAAAATAAAAGTTTAAATATATTTTTTTTTATTCGAATATAAATGAGAAGACGTTTCACTAGTCAAAAGAACACTAACGCAAAAGCAGAGATTACGGTTGGTTTATAACGTAAATGATGATAAATCACGAATTATTCAAAATGTTAAAGTTTAATGTTAGCCCCGAATTAACAAGGTCAGCAACTCAACCAAATTTATTAACTCGTGACTTACCGAAAAAGGAGGAGAGCAAAATTAAGAAGATGGAGACCCAATCATTTTCTTCTGAACCCGGTAAAGAACCTGTTGAAATTCCACTTATCCAACATACCCCCAGCCTCTTTCATCAAACATCGAGAACCCATATAAAATAGACATTAATTCTGAATTAATGAAAATTTACCGTGATATAATAATTAATAATTATGATTCAATAATAAATTTAATTGACCAATCCGGTTTAATTATTTTAACCTTATGAATCATTAATTCACATTATCGCCATTCTTTGTGATGTTCAAGATTCAGACGTTAAGATTCAATTTTTCATAGATGATGAGGTTTCATGCTGCGGAACAGTTGCAAAATAAATCCTATAAAGGATATTAGCACAATTAAGATAAT